TTCAGGAAATCAAGAAAATGTTTAGATGCTTTTTGAAAAATATTTTTAGCCACAGCCCAATTATTCGTGTTTGAAATCAATTGGGCGATTAGGAATTATAAATTCGAAAATGGAAAGACTGTGGCAAAGCATAAACGCAAGGGTGATTTCCAGGCACATAATTTTAGCTAGCAGTAGTTGAGTAAATTAACGGTTCTTGAACAATTTGACTGTGTAACTATTAATTAGAGGCTAACCTCTCTTGAACACACGTAGCTCTAGTGCAAGTTGGTTTTATACTCGTCAGAAACTCGATATCTCCATAATTTTCATCATAATTTGCACGATATTGCAATCCTCAAACTACAACTTCGAGTTTCTATGTTACCATAACATCGATGATAGATGTTTTCAATAAAATACGCGATGTAGACGTATATGCGCGGAATATTATTTTAAACATTAATTCTCGCGGAAAACAAAATCCTCTAATTTGATTATTGCTCGTACAATTTTTAATACTAATTTAATATGCGTCTGTGACGGTGTACGCGTTATATTATAGTGACATGTAATAAAATATATTCAAATTAGCGAAGAAGAAAATACAAATAGCCCCACAGTGAACTGTATAAGTAAAACAAGTAGTATAGGTCAGCCCATAATCAGACGCGCCACATCCCTTTGTTATTTCACATTCCCGACTGTTCCAGCGCGTATTATATAATTTATAATTTATAATTTGCATCAACTTCACGCAAAATATTGCAGGATACCAAAAGAAATCGCGAATCGGCTATTGCCAACAAAAACAAATTGTAAACCGATCGATATCTTCTAGAAGCAAATCGAAAAGTTATTCTATATAACAAAATAAAATTGCGCGACTCCCCTACGGGGAGGTGAAGCGTAGGTTAAGGAAAGCATAAAAGCGTGGTCCTTGATAACCAAAACAGAGTCCTTAGAAATCGGCTATGACCAGCACAAGCGTGAGTCGCTTGGTGTTGGAAAAAGAGTTTTAAAAGAGTGCGTCCTCGTGTGTTTTCATTTCGTTATCTCGGTGTTCTTTTCCTAAGTTAAATCAGTTTACGAGTTTTGAGTTTGCGTTAGCGCGTTCTTGTTCTTTCGATAATTTTCGGTGTCTCAAGACCAGTATTCGCCATCCTACAATATTGTATATCTTAAAAATCAATACCAATATAAAACATGGCGTCCAACTTTGAAGCCATCTCGATTACGCGAGCCCATTATGTGTACCCATCCACGTACATAAATCACTCGATTTTCATTCCCATAAAATTTTTCTCTTATATTTCATTAAAGAGCGTGCCCTCTGTCCGATAGAAAACGATTCGGAACACTGATATACCGTTTCGACAACCGATTCTACTGCCCCTTCTATTTTCTCCTGTCGAATCTGCGTTAATACCCGATGACATGGCGTATCGGCTCGTCCGACATCGTCTCGTGGAACGTTAAAATCGAAGACGGGACGAGCCACGGGGGTTGAACAACGCTGAAAGCGGAAAACGAACACGCAATCCGTTCGACCCCTGTTCGATGAAGCCTTTCGACGTCGATGCCGAAGTCTCAGCCAAGGTGCAATGGCTATTTACAATAAAGCTTAACGAACCGTGTCTCGACGACGACGGCTATCGACGTGTTTTCAATTGCGAACGGAAACGAAGCTGCACGCGCAAACAACGCGACAGCTATTGGGAAACGTTTCGGTGCGCGCGGAGAAGCGCCGCGAGGCTAATATCGGCGCGTGTCCGCCGGCATTCCAACCCCGTTCACGCTCGAACGGGGAAGAATTCCGCGGGGTGCACGAAATTCTGAAAGGAGATCGAAGATCAAAGGGGGCTGACGACGACGCGTTCATTAATATTTCATGAAGTTTCCTTGTTTGTCGAGCCGAGCCGCAACGCGACCGAACCGATACTCGAGAAAATGGAAAACAAACCACCCCTGTATGGCCGGTCGTAAATTTCGAAGAAGTAAATGGAGCGTGGCGGTCGATGGATCGTGCGCGATTTTCTACCGCGAGTTTTTAAACGAATTTCAGCGAATTTTGTTAGGATTTAAACGGAAACACGGGTGGCTAGTTATTTATGAAAACTCGCCCCCTTTGAGGATGCTTGGACAGCTCAACGAGATGTTTCCCCAATTTTTGAAATAATTATCGATTTGCCTATTAAAAAATTAGAAAGGAAAGGAAATGACATTTTTTAAAATATATATGACCACATCATATCCGTAACTCGCTTTGAAAGAATTATGGGACATCCTTCCACCATGATTGTTTTCAATCGGTTGGTCGCAGGTTAGGTTAGGTTAGGTTAAGTTTGGGTTTATCGTAGATGACTGTTCGTCATGATGATTTTATCCTTATCTTCTATTCTCTACTTTATTTGTTCCAAATTTTTGCGACTCTATTTGAATTTTTGTGTGTGAGGAGTGGGGTCCTTCCCCACTGTTGCTGTGGTCATCTTGTCGCAGGTATCCTCGATGTTGCGGTGGTGTTAGAAGGGAAGAAAAGAAAAGAAAGGGGTGCGTTTCGTCCTGGGTCTACTAATGGACTCATCGGTAAGACTACCTAACAGGTCCTGCCTTAGAAAAGGATACTATTGAAATAGGGAAGCTTAAAAATTCTATATATATATATATGGGGATGGAATAAGGACAGCCCTGAAAGAATATTAAGTGTGTTTGGGCTTAGAAAGAAAGTGACCGCGTGTAAGAGGATCGAATGTAAGGGATGTTTATGACAGCCGAATGCGATAAACGAGTGGAAGTCTATGAATGCTGCTGAGTGTTTAGGATACGTGACCGACCGATTGAGAAAGAGAACGTGGGTATAGATGAGGATAGAATGAATGGCTTAAATAAGGGTACAAGGGCGCGGACGAGACAGTCTCTAGTGATCTTTAACAAACTTCAAGGGGTCTATAAGTATAAGCTTACTGTATTAAGAAGTAACGTAACATTATTTTAGCCCATCCACACACCCCGATCCTACATATATATTAAACGGGAAGGGGAGGTTTTACAGAGGACTTTCTCGCAAGTCCTGGAACCTTCTCTAAATAGGAATCCATCTACTAGCAAGGGTGAGGATGACACCGCCAAAGAATAAATGAAGATTTCTTTCTGAAAAACACGTACTCGCGATATCGTTTAATGTCATTTAACAATGTCGATCAAATATTCCCGACTCGTCCTCGAAGAATAAAAACACCGAGTCAACCATCGGAGGAATAAACGGAACAGAGCACAGTCTCGCGGAGAAACCGCGTGGTCGCCTATGAATCCAGCACTAAGCCACCCCCTAAGTATCTTTTCAAACTTGTTAAACCCGGTTTCTTGCGGGGGATTCATTATTAAAAGACCTCGATCGAGAAACGATGCGCGCAAGGAGCTTATTACTCGGGTTCGGTGCTGAATAAAACATGGAGCAACCGGGAGCGCGTGCGACGAGCGATTTAAAATATTCAATTCGATGTACGATAAAAGCGAGAAAGCCCTTTCGTCGTCGTGGCTCCGCCATTTCGTTCGAGCAACACGCGAAATTACGCGCGGCAGCGTGAAATCATCGCGGGAGAACGATCGAGCCGATCTACTCGCCTGGCCGTCCTGTCTCGCTAACCCCTTGCAGCATGAACACGCGTTCGCACGGTTGCGAATATTTTACATCGCGGTTCGAGTAACAGATTCGAACCGGGAATTCGGGAAAACTCGGGAAGACTCGCGTAATTCGGGGAAAAATCGAATTTTAAAAAGGACACGAGCAGTTCCAACAATTAACCCTTTGACTGTCAAGCTGAAGTCACGTGTTTCGCTCAGGATGCCACGGGATATTTATATTTTTATTATTCAAAGCACCACTATTATTCATAATGGCAAAATAATAATAAATCGGTGATACAAGGCAACATTCTTAACCAAAAGGAGAGTTCATCTTAGTGGCGGTCACGGATGACCACCGTGGCATCTAGGTAACGGTTGACAATTGACATTAATTGTAAATTTTTACAATTGAAAGTAGTTCAAGCGCGTCTGGTTACCTATGGCCACAGTGACACCTTGGTAATGGTTGACAATTGACACTAATAGTTCGAACGCTCTGGTTACCAATGACCTGTAGTAGTGACAGGAGAAACTGTGGCCAATCATATGGCAGTCAAAGTGCTAACCTATAGGAACACATTCGTCGATGCGGAAAAAGAGAGTCAACATATTCGAGGGGCCCGAGTCAATGGGGGCCCGATTTATATCTCTACGACCAGCGTCCCATGACTCGTGGACACGGACCACGAACGTTCGGGCTAGACCGCTCTGGTTACCAATGACCTGTAGTAGTGACAGGAGAAACCGTGGCCAATCATATGGCAGTCAAAGTGCTAACCTATAGGAACACATCCGTCGATGCGGAAAAAGAGAGTCAACATATTTAAGGGGCCCGAGTCAAAGGGGCCCGATTTATATCTTTACGACCAGCGTCCCATGACTCGTGGACACGGACCACGAACGTTCGGGCTAGGCCCTGCCAAAGGCCTTGTTCTCAACGAGAGTGCGGGACAGACCTTTCCAAAAATTGACACCGTGTCCCCTGTACCAGCCCCCCTTCGTATGGTAAACCTTGTCGTAACACGAAATAGTGTATTTGTTAAATTAGGTAAATAGTAAATTCGTTAAATTCGTCAATATCTACGAAATCCCTCAAACCTATTCTGTTCCTGTCCAGCCATTCGATCTTTTCGGATTCTCAGTTCCGTCCGCTCCGATTCGAATTCCGAATTATTCAATTTTCTCAGCTGTGCAAGAAGAACGCGCAGATTCGTGATAAATTTCAAGGTGTAAATACAAGAAACAAGACTCTCGCGAATTTTTGGAAAAGCGTGCATGTTGCCAAGTAGATTCGCGATTTATATCACAGTGCAAGGGGTCAATCTTCCGCGATAGCTGGTCTCACGGAATATATAAATTCTATTAAAGGAAACGAGATGAATAAATTTCATTACCTCTTGGACCTTCCTGTGAACGATGATCTTGTGCCACTGATTATCGTCGAACCGAACTCGTACCGGCTTTACGTGCAGATCTAATCTTCCTTTGGCCAGCGTCATGCCCACGGCTGCCCCTCCGTCTCTCAGAGACACGGTCAGATAATCATCTCCTTCCCCTGCAACGACACGGGCAAAAAAGAACGGTTACTTTGATGTGAATTAAGCGAGAGGGTTCGAGGTTAGAGTCATGGTTCTGCGGGGCACTGGCAAGTAAATTGAAACCGAACGTGATTGATCTTACGATGGATCGAACCTGTATGGGTTTTAGAGGGCATCGAGGAGGTTGAATGCGAGGAGACACGTGTACAGTACGGCAGAAGGCTCACGGAAAGAGCTTCGGTATCATAGATGCACGGGTTAACCATTTTAAACGAGCGTATTTAATATGAAATAAGCGTGGTCTGAAGCCGAGAGTGCTGTTTCAAAGGCTGATCTTTCGAAGTAAGTAGGATGATAAAAAATTCCTGGCTCTCTTTTATGAATGTTTCGTTGCGCGGAGTTAGTGAATTGTAAAATATCAGCTGCCTCGTAACTGCGGAGAGATTTACGCGCTTACTTTATATTCGCAGGTTCGAAATACCTGTCTGTTTAAGAAGTCGCTCAACCGGAAGACTGCTGTGCTTTTCCAAGTGAATAAATAAATCGCCAGTTCGTTAAAGAGACAATAACTAGGTACATATACAGGAATTCAAACGAATAATCGAATTAATACCGTAAAACACGCAGGTGTTAAGTGTCAAAATTACACCGTAATTTCAATAGCTACTCCGCCTCCCTGGGGGAGATTATGTGGGATTTTTACCCACTGAAATCCCCACGGTAACCATTCGTTTCGCTATGGGGGGCACCTATAGATGAACTCAAGATGAACACAATCGGTGCTCCCCCGCGACATGCCACCAAATAACTGGGCCCTCCAGTGACACGTACCCCTGCGAGATTTGTCACTGTCCATCGAACACTCTGAACCCTCCAAGCTCACCATATATCCTTTTTCTAATGAATTTCCGTACCTGAGATATACCTACTAAAGCAGATAGAAAGTCAAATGGAAAGGAAGCAAATTCGCGTGAAAAATTTCCGCAATATTCAACCCTATTCCATCCCTAGTTCCTTCCAAATCTTCCAGGAAGTATACTAACCGACGTATTCTTCGCGCTGCGTATTACAAGCGAAGTTGGGCCGAGGAAACAGGCGATAATCGCGCAAACAGCAACATATTCCCGCATCCGATTTCTCATTACGCGTAACTTCGTTAACCCTCGTCCGCGGAAAGGGCGAAGGTCCCGCAACGAGATTATAATTCGCGTTAATCCCGCGTAAATGTAAGATACACAGGGTCGAACGCGGATTTAATCTGGCGCAGCCCGGGCATAATTACACGTGGCCGCGATGGCCCGCCACCCCCAACCCCCGGCTGAGCCGAAAACAATAAAAATAAAGTGTCGTTTGCCGCGTCTTAATCCCTCGGCTCGTAACGAGCTCGCCGATATACCGGCATAATCCGCTGGGCTTTTCAGTTCGTTCGTTGCGATAATTATTAACGGGTAGACCTAGCCGCTGCAGCGGCCCAACCGGAAACGAAAACTGGCGAAACTAATGGTAAGCGGATACGAACGATTTATACGCGTCGTTTCGGCTTCTAATCCAATACCAGCTCGACTGTCGGGGAATTCGCGCGAAAAAATGACGAGATCTAGATTCTTCTATTTTTCCTTCTTTTTTCTCTTTAATTTTCGATCGGTCCGATACGTCCATTTTCCATCGAGTTGATGATGGAAACAGTGGGACGAGGGACGGTATTATTTCCGTTTATTTTGTCGTTGCCGATGTTAATGCTGTTTCGTTGTTATTATTAATATTTGCGACACTTGCGAAATTACCGATACGAGTTTTGCCAATTTATAGATACCCTCTGTTGTTTCGGGCATTGACGTTGTTGCGGCCCTAGGACCGCAATATCCTAGGTCAAGTGGAGGACTATTTGTGAGGAAATACGAATATTTATTCAACTATAAGTCGGTAAGTAATATATGAAAGTATGAGTGTGTGTGTGTGAGGATGAGCTTGAACGTGCGGTGTGAGTTGTTATGAATTTAGTTCTGAATAACATCTAATGTAAGAAACACCGTGTGTACCAATATAAGTAAAATAGATATCCAGTAAAACTGTTGTGGTTTGAAAGTAAAAGCTACATAAAATCCTTTCACTGTTTTATGTCCGTATTGTCAGTGTCCCTTGACTCGTATATATTCATCGTCACCTAAACCATCGCTTGGGTAAACGGTAACAAGGACCCAAATTATTTATACTTCCACCACCATAGAATGATACAGATCCACCTCTTATATTGTACCGACCAATCAGTAGAGAGACGAATCTTATAAAACCACCGACAGAGCAGTCACGAAAGATTCTTCCTAAAATCTCCAAGATGACCATAGACATCCACCTCTTATATTGTACCGACCAATCAGTAGAGACAGACGAACCTTATAAAACCACCGACAGAGCAGTCACGAAAGATTCTTCCTAAAATCTCCAAGATGACCATAGTATCATCATAGAGACCCACCAATAATTACTTAGCTCAGGAGACTGCCTACTATAGAAATCTCTGCAGTTCAACCATAACCAGGCCTACCTCTACCAAGTTAGTATCTTCCTTATTGAAACGATGAATGAAAAATTATCGAGCGAAACAACTGTTACTAATTTTTCGCAGTAACCATCTGTTAACTCTTTGCTCCCGAGAGGTGCAAACCGTTTGTTTCAATGCCATAACTTAGATAACGAATGACGATAATTATATTAAAAACATCGAAATAAAATTAGTCTATTCGTAACTCTCAGTCACCGTTTGTTTCAATGCTATAACTTAGATAACGAATGACGATAATTATATTAAAAACATCGAAATAAAATTAGTCTATTCGTTTGTTGCACACGCAAATTCCCGATTTTCTTTTCTTCATTTTAGCATAAAGAATATCACCTTCGCAACGAAGAAATCTTCGAGTCCAAAGGGTTAAAGTAAACGCGAGAACCAGAATATAGAGTATCCCGAATTAATCCATTTTTCATTTCCCCATTGCCTTTTCCTTAGTAACGCGTTAGTAATTAATCACGGGGAACAGATATTGCTCGCAATATCGATCCCAAAATCCAAATTACGCGAATTTGTTTCCACCGCATCTCGTTACACCAAAATTCCGAGATACGCGTATTCGATGTAGCTTTTCACCCCTACTCCGAAAATTGTACTCGACCAAAACCTACAATGGAAAATCCGTTTCCTTTTTTGCTCGCTTTTCCATTCAGTGCAAGAACAAACGAATTCCTCCGCTAAAATGACGTAAGTGGAAATGACGTATGTTGTCCAAATTCCCACGTTTTATTACCACGGAAAACACGTTTGCGAACGCACACACCTACGCGTATATTGCTTCTACACACGTGGCGGGTAAAACAAAGAATAAAAGCGATGCATTGTGATAAACGAATAGCAGATTAGGTTCGCAACGCTCGGGTAGTATTGTTAGCGATGAAATAAATGGAAATTTATAACCGTCTGTTATTCGAGATCATTTGCTCCCGGCCGCGATGCTGCAAATTTTATTTCAATCCACGTGGACGTATTTTGTATGAAATAAACTCGGAAGGAAGATTTATCCGGGGGTCGAGTCCGCGTATTGTAAATTTCGGGCCCGTGAGACTAAAGGACATTAAATATGTTGCGCGAGATTTATCGCGATTTCGCGGCGCACGGATGATAGGGGAACTTATCCCTGCGTTTGATTTACGCTCGTCGAATACCGCAACGAGAACTGTTCCCGTTCGTTCTTTCCCGGCGGACTTATGGCCGACTCGCGATCGGAATTTCCAGCGGATATATAAGATCGATACGCCGCCATGATTAAATAATCATATGCAACGTCCGGCGGGACAAGCGAATTCTTTGGTAATTCGATCGCGGGATATATATCGACGCAACGATATTACGAATCGAACGTGATCGATATTCGTCACGCGTGCCCGCGCGTATTTATTTGAATAATTAATATTCGTTATTTGCGTCACGCGATAACGCAGAGAAATTAATATTACGACAGTAATTGGGCTGCGTTACGAAACCTGCTAAACATTTGTCAAACGAAATTAGAAATTTCCCTGGATAAATTTCCCGCTCAATTTGGCAGATTAAAATCGGAATTACGGTGGAGTTAGATGTTCTCAGCGAGGGAAATTAATTACGGTTAGTTCCTTTTCTTTTTTCGTTTTTATCTGGGTTCAGTAATGCAGGGGTAGTATGGTTATTTGGGACAGAATTAGGTTACAGATTCGGGGTGTTTTGGATATTGAAGGGTAGAATCTGTTGTAATGGTTGATATAGATTTTTAGTGTATATATTGTTACGAGTTTCTCATATTCATACTGTACTCGGACTAGTAACAGGAACGAACTATAACTTCAGGAAAATAGTAATTCAACACCTACTGGAATGTTAGGGCAAAGAGCAATCGTGGTTGATTGCTATAAAAAGGGGTGACTTTCGTCGAGGTTCAGTGAGTTGCAGTTGACAGCGTTCAGTTAGGGTTATTATAATTCTACGACGTTAACATTAACGCAGGTGTAGGCGCCATTGTCATTTTTCTGCAATTTGTAGATGACAACATGCGGATGACGATGAAGACGGTTCTGGAAGATTTTTAGTGTATATATTGTTAAGAGTTTCTCATATTCATACTGTACTCGGACTAGTAACAGGAACGAACTATAACTTCAGGAAAATAGTAATTCAACACCTACTGGAATGTTAGGGCAAAGAGCAATCGTGGTTGATTGCTATAAAAAGGGGTGACTTTCGTCGAGGTTCAGTGAGTTGCAGTTGACAGCGTTCAGTTAGGGTTATTATAATTCTACGACGTTAACATTAACGCAGGTGTAGGCGCCATTGTCATTTTTCTGCAATTTGTAGATGACAACATGCGGATGACGATGAAGACGGTTCTGGAAGATTTAGATCTAGGATAAATTTTGATTAAATGCTTCACAGCGACGCGATTCTCGAGGAACGAGTTGTCGAGTCTTGGAAGTGATAATTAAAATTAAGCAT